GAGCCTCTCTTGGGTGACACCCGATGGCTTTTCTCACCATTGTCTCAGGTACAGCCCCATTTCCTAGGAGCCCCCAGCCCAAGTGCTCAGGGCGCAGAGCCTCTCCCTGGCCTCAGGCGGCAAGTCACAAGTGAATTGGCCTAAGACAGAAATCTCAAAGTGTGGTCCCCAGACCGGCATCATCAGGAAATTTGTTAGCAATGCTGATTCTCAGAGCCCACCCCAGACCTGCTGAATCAGCCAGTGTGGGGATGAGGAGCAGCATTTTTTTTATAAGCCTTCTGGGTGATTCTGATGCACACCCAAGTTTGAGAACCATTGGTCCAAGATAATTCCCCTGATTGAGGATTGGTGGGGGCAGGGGCATGTGACCAATTCAGTGAGGCAGAGACTGCTGTATGTCCCCAGTATCCATGCACCCCTTTTCTCTATAAAGGGCTTTTTAGCTGAGCACATGGCCACTGTAGAGTAGAGGATTGTATTTCCCAGCCTCCTTTGCAATTAGTTGTTGCCATGGAAACAAGTTCCAGCCTGTGGGTTTTGAGCAGTAGAACTTTGTGCTACTTCCAGGTCATCCCCCTAGACGGAGGAGCTGCGTTCTCCTCCAGCTCAGTTTACCCTTCCTACTGGCTGAACTGCAGCTGTGTGGAGAGCCAGCTTGAAGTTGAGAGCAAAATCCTAGCATGGTGGAGCAGCGAGACAGGAATCCCCTGGGTCCTAGACACATGGAGCTGCCATACCTGACCTGGACTGCTTATGTGATGGAAGGGATCAACTTCTATCATGTTTAAGCCACTGTTTGGGGGTCTTCATGACTGCTGAAATATATCCTGGCTAATACATCTGACCCCTGGACTACTAAGGAAAGTCTTTTGAAGAATCTCTGGGAAAGGTTTCCTTCTCAACAGAAAGACATACAAGAAAGGGAAACCCTTGGCCTCAATCGTTGATAACATCAAAACCAGAATAATGATGAAGAGTATAATGTCTGTATTGCTACCCTCTCTCCATCTGTGCTAGTTTGCTAGGACTCCCATAACAAAAGACGACATACTGGGCAATTTAACAGAAATTTATTTTTTCACAGTTCTGGAGTCTAGAAGTCCAACATCAAGTTGTCAGCAAGATTGATTTCTTCTGAAGCTCTCTCCTTGGCTTGCAGATGGCAGCATTCTCACTGTGTCCTCACATGGTCTTTCCTCTGTGTATATGCGCCACTGGTATCTGTGTCTTCAAATTTCCTCTTCTTATAAGGACACCAGTCAGATTAGATTAGAACCCACACTGTGGCCTCATTTCAACTTAATCACCTCTTTAAAAGCCTTATCTCCCCAAACAGCCACCCTTGGGGTACTGGGTATTACGGCTTCAACATACAAATTTGGGAGGGATGGAATTCAGCCTGTAACACCAACAAAGCAGAAGATGTAAGAAACTTGATGCCATTCTTTTTTTTTTTTTTTCTGCATGAGGAAATCCTTTAATTATATAAAGTAATCAAACACTAAACCGGAGAAGGGATTTAAAAAACCCATTTAGAAATAATGTGTGCTACCTTTTCAAAGTGAGCTCCGAGGCTGTGTATTTTCCTGGTAGAGTTTCTCTCTCAATGGTTTGGTGTTAATGGTATTTTACTTTTTCCTCTCTTAAGCCTGGTTTTCTTTTCTTTAAAAAAAATTGTTTTAAAATTTTGTATTGGTGTATAGCTGATTAACAAACAATGTTGTGATAGTTTCCGGTGAACAGTGAAGCAACTCAGCCATACGTATATGTATACCCATTCTCCCCTAAACTCCCCTCCCACTTGATATCATTCTTGAGCTGCTCAATTAACCAGCCCTGAAATCACTTATCTTTGGGCTTTGTCTTGGCAGATGATAAATGTTCCTTATGTATAAGCCACCTTTGATCGGATAGTCTATTCTTAGCAGCTCAAAGCATCACATCTCAGGCACTGAGTGTTTGTTCACACCATTCCTTCTGCCTGGAGTGACCTTCCTGTACACACGCCCTTCAAATCCTGCTTCCCTTCAAACCCTGGTTCTTTGCCACAGGCTTGGTGAGTGGCTCCTGATTCTGCTTTCCCCAAACAAGTCGCTTGCCTCATGTCAGAGTTCTTTGCCTGTCTCTCTTTCTTTCTCACTAGATCAAGGGTCAGCATATGCACTGGCCGCCACATCCTCCACCCACCCACTCACCATCCCATGGCAATCTCCCTTCCACTGGGAGATTTGGTTTTTATAATCAGCACTCCAGGGCAGCCCCTGCCAATCAATTGGAGGTGCCTCAAAAGAGGTGAACTCTATTTGCCATGACTGTCAAGTCTTCAGGGCACAGATTTTGTTTTACTCACCTCTTCTTTGATTCATAAGCAGCTTTATTAATAAATGTTACCATTGTATACTTCTGATCCCATTTAATCCCTGCAGCAACCTCCTGAGGCAAGCACCATCATTATCCTGCTTTTGATGCATGAGATTCTGGACTCTAAGAGAGAAACTATCGGTTCAAGGTCATACACATTTGAACCTAGGTTCGCCTGTCTCTTGGGCTTCCCTGGTGGCTCAGATGGTAAAGAATCTACCTGCCAATGTAGGAGACCACCTAGGAGATGGGGGTTCAATCCCTGGGTTGGGAAGATCCCCTGGAGAAGGGAATGGCTACCCACTCCAGTATTATTGCCTGGAGAATTCCATGGACAGAGGAGCCTGGGGGGCTACAGTCCATGGGGTCACAAAGAGTTAGTTACAACTGAGCAACTAACACTTTCACTTTCTGCTGACTTGTACTAAACACCTGATCTGTTCATGGTCCTGGGCTGGGACTGCCCAGAACACAGAGATGGTTTGCTATTTTGAGTGGCATTCAGAACACTGGTCATGTTTGAGCTCCACAGCAGTTCACGGATGTTTGGAGTTAATCCAGGAGTAAGAGACATCCCTCTTTTACACAGAGGGAAACTGAGGCTCAGAGAGAAGAAAAGGCTTGCAAAAGCCATTATGGAGGTGCCGGAGCAAGAAACCACATCTGATTCCCAGCTGCCATCTGAGGGTGGGAATTCGGGACCTGCTCAGGGGTTAACTGGGAGGGTGATGTCCAGGGCGATCAGGGATTGGCTAGTACATCCTGGCCTCTTCCTGTTAGCCCACAGGCAGAGGCTCTCACTTCCTGCTGTAGGGACATGACGGGCAGGATGTCAGGGAGCAGGGAGGGTGGCTGTGTGAGCTATCACTGAGCAGTCTGGGCCATTTCCCTACCTCTGAAAGAGGGAGGAAGAGACAGGAAGGCTGGTGTCTGAGAGTCTCCTGCAGCTCTCACACCCAGAGGCAGTAGGGAGCTATGAGCTTTGCTCCCACGGGCACTGACCTGGTATACCCGGGTTAGAAAAATGTTAGAAAAAACTTTCCAAACAATCCTATGCATGGGCCCCTGCACTTCACAGTTTCCAACTGTCTTCTCATCCACGGCCTGATATCTCTCCTGTCATACCTCTGACTACAGGACAGAGTTTGGGGGCTTATTGTTCCCAGTGGAAAGATGAGGAAGCTGAGACCCAGAGAGATTACAATAAGCAGCCTGCTTGCATCACATAGCAAATCAGTTCCAGGGCTTAGGTCTCCAGAACCGAGTGGTTGGGGCAAGGTGAGGAGGGATCACTCAGAACCTTTCCCATTGCTCTGGGTGGGCCACGCAGAGGGCATAGGCCTCAGAGGTAAGTAACCAGGCTTCAGAACAGAGCAGGAAGAAATTCCAGGCCTTTGTCTCATTTACTGTGTGCCCTCCTTGGGTTCACCTCTGCAATTGAGTCTGTTTTAAAAATCTGGATAGCACATATAGGACTTCCCTGGTGGCTCAGATGGTAAAGAATCCACCTGAAATGCTGGAGACCTGGGTTCGATCCCTGGTTGAAAAGATCCCCTGGAGAAGGGAATGGTGACCCACTCCAGTATTCTTGCCTGGAAAATTATATGGACAGAGAAACCTAGCGGGCTACAGTCTATGGGGTCACAAAGAGTTGGACACGATTGAGCGACTAATACACACACAAACACAACACATATAATAATGGTACATCAATATTGTGAAGAATAAGTGAGATGAAATACATAAAGGGCTCAGTCCAGAACCACAAAGTGAGCCCTGCTTCCCTACTATTATTCTCTCAAGAGACAGTGAAACAGCTCAGAACACACAGACACACAGATAGGTGAAGAGTTAATGTTTATTGAGTACTTCACGTGTTCCAGGAGTTTTTCTAAGTGAGTTTAATTCTTAGAAGGTCACTCTGAGGGTCAGGCTGGTATTGTGCCCATTTTACAAATGGGGAAATGGAGGCACAAGAGGTTACAGACCCAAGGTCATAACCCTAGTAAGTGGCAAAACCAGGATTCAAACTCAAGTGGCCTATCTCTGAAGCCCATGCATACTGCCTCCCTTAATATTGGTAATGATTAATTCTTAAAATCATAACTTGCTTTCACACAATATTCCATAGTTTATGAAGCATTTGCCCACCCACTCTTTCATTTTTTTCTCACCTCAGTAGCCTAGAGAGGAAGGCAGTGTTTACCCCTAATTTATAAAAGGGAGGGGGAAATAGGCTGTGAAAAGGGGAACTCACCTGCCTTGCCAAGGTCACACAGCAAGGTCAGTGGCAGAAGTCGGGGTGGGATCTGGGATTTTCTGTCTCTAAATTCAGAGGACTCTTCCCAGCCTTAGTCAGTTTCCAAGCCCCCTCCATAGCAACTGCAGCCTGGAGATCTTGGGGTTTTCTCCCTGGTCTGTTACTCTGACTGGGCTTCAACTGTCCAGCTGGAGGGTCCCAAGGCTGCATCCTTCATCCACCCCTCACCCGGCCACTCACTATCAGCCGGGAGGGGCAGGAACTCTGGGGCTGGTGGAGTTTCCGACCAGGCAGGAAAAAGAACAAAGGAACTGCGTGGGAGGAGAAGGTGGAGGGGTGGCCAGGAGGGTGGCAGGAGCGGAGGGGACGCTTCACCATGGAATATGAAGTCAAGAAAGGGAAAAAGGTAGGTGGGGGTTTGGAAAGGGCTCGGGGTAGAGAAGTGTCCCCAGAGTTAGAGAAATGAGAAGCCTGGGGGTGGGGTGATGGGCAGTGAGTGGCGTCAGGAGCACCTTTCTTCTTATTTGGAAAGAAAGACCTTCCTCTCCACCCTTGGGGAGCCAGACATTTGGGCTCAAATTCTCTAACCAGTCTCCCTGCTCTTAGTGGCCTCTGCCATCCCAGGAAAAAACAGACGGACAGGTACCTTCCAGGAAAATCCAGCCAGCCAGATTAGTCTGGGAGACACTCCCAACCTGCTTCCCTGGTGTTCCTCAGGAAGTTTCTCAGACTGAAGACAGACAGAAAAACGGACACCCAGAAAACCCATTCCCCTGCTCCTTGCCTCACCAGAGAGAAGGACCTTAAACAGGGCAAGTCTGTGCTATGAGGCGGCCTATCTGGGCTTGGGACACCTACCTCCTCCTCCTGCCAGGTTCTAGCTGAAGCCTCTCCCCATCTTTATACAGGGACCAGTTCTGCTCCAAAGGCCTCAGCCTGAGGGTCACTCCCCAACCCCCTAGATCTTCTTCCTGACTCTCAGAAATTTTCTAGTCTGGTTCTCTGGGCATCTCACCTGTTTGTCTTTGAGGTCCAGGAAGCCTCTGGACTTCCAACTCCCACCCCCGTCCCCACCTAGCCCTCCTCCCCCAGGAAACCAAGATCCAACTGTTTGCAAAGGCTCCTATGTGAATTATGAGGGCTCCGAAGGGAGCCAAGACATAGGTGCTTGTTGCTTCTTGGTTCCTTCCTTTTACAGATATTTATTCAGTACATATTATGTGCCAGGCACCACGCCTGGTGCTGGTGATGATACACTGTGAGCAAAGTCAGACAAGGTCCCTGCTCCCTCCCTAGAGCTCACAGCCTAGTGGGGGAAACAGCTATTAATTTTTTTTTTAAGCAATTAATGTAAAATTGCACAAAAGGCTCCATATGCAGTGCTGGGAGAATGTTAAACCTTAGACTGGTCAGCCTGAGCTGATAGGTGGAAGGAAAGGGGGTAGGAAAGAGTGTTTCAGGCAGGGAAACAGTGTGTGCAAAGCCCCTCCATAGGAGGAAGGAATATAGCACATAGGAAGAACTGAAAGATGGCCCTAGAACCAGAGGACAGGAGTGAGGGGCAGTGAGATGAAGTTGGAGAAGTGGGCAAGGCTGGACCATTCAGGGCCACAGACAAAACAATTACTTGCCCGGTCCACTCAGGCATACATACATACTCTCATACATGGGGTAAAGTCCTGGCTCCACAGCCAACATTTATGCCCTCTATGACTTGTTCATCTCATCATTTGGCTACAGCGAAATGGCTGTAATACATCTTTTTCAGGCTTGTGCTCATCCAGCCCTTGCAGCCCCCAGGGTTTTGCACAAGCTGTGCCCTCTTCTTGGAATGTCTGTTCCCAGATTGCTTGATCTCATTCCTCAGAGCTTCCTTGTACTTAATCCAGGCTCCATGATACTGATTGTAAAACTTGAATTGGGCATCAGAATCGCCTGGGGTGCTTGTTAAAACACAGATCGTGGGGGTCTCATCCCAGTTTCTGATCCAATAGGTCTGGGATGGAGCACAAGAATGTACATTTCTCTTAAATTCCCAGGAGATGCTGCTACTGCTGGTGGTGGAGACCCAGGAACCACACACTGAGAACCACTGTTCTAGATCAGTGCTCACACTTTCTGGGCGTTTAAATTCTGTTGGGCTGGGCTGAGGCCCTAGAATTTGCTCCTTCAATCTAGATCCAGGCCATTTTTATGCAGGTGCCCACTGGATTATGCTACAGTATCATTAATTAGAAATCAAGCATTTCTAATATTGAGGAAAGCACAGAAAATAGCTTAATAAATACCTATGCACCTACCATTCAGCCAAATTGGATGTTAATATTTTTCTGTACTTGACCCAGCCTGGGTAGGTTCCTACTGTCACCTGGGTGTTTATTTTTTTAAACTTTTAATTTTATATTGGGGTTAGCTAATTAACAATGTTGTGATAATTTCAGGCGAACAGCGAAGGGACTCAGCCATACATAGACATGTATCCATTCTCCCCCAAACTCCCTCATCTGGGTATTTAGAATGAAGGTTTGGAGCCAGACTGCCCAGGGTGAACTATTGGTTCTACAGCCACTAGCCGGTAACCTTACTAGCTCTCTCTGAGGCTCAGTTTCTCCATCTGTAAAATGGAAATCACAGAGGTAACCTGCCCCTCTCTGCAGTGTTTTTGTCAGAATTCAATTAATATAAGTAAAAGTATATATAAGTATATAAGTATATTTAAGTAAAAGGCTGCATATAAGTGCTGGTGCTGGAGAAGACCAAGTCAGTGGCTATTATTATTGCTTTACTCATGCCCTTGCCTCCTCCAGGGCTTTGTGTCCCCCATCCGGAGGCTGGTATTCCCCAAGGCTGCGCGCCGGGCAGCCTGTCGGAGCAGTGTGAGCCGTCGTCCCCTGCACTCGATGCCCCTCTATCCCCCCGACTACCTCATCGACCCTCAGATTCTGCTCTGTGACTATCTGGAGAAAGAGGTCAAGGTATGCGTGGGATGAGAGGGGAGGGGTGGGCAGGATCTGGGGACAACGGATTAGGGGGAACGTTTCCCTCAACCCTCTTAGGGTCCCTGGCTGGGTCTGAAATTTAAACTGAACAAAGATTAACCGGAGAAAAACATGCACATTTTATTAAATTTTCACATGTACATGAGAACGTTCAGGGAGAGAATGGAAGACCCTGAGAAGTGACTAGAGCAGGAATCTTTTATACATTTTTGACAAAGAAATAATAAATCTGTGAAGAATTGACAAGGCAGAGGGGTTCGGAGTAGGGGTAGTAGATGGTAAATGAGGAACAAGGTTTGTTTATTCAGACTTCTGGGCCCTCAGTTCCCTGTCTCTGGTGATAAGGAGGTCTCCCTTCCTGCCGGTACTCTGAAAAGAGGGTACCTTTCACCAGGGAGATTTATCTCCTGCTTTCAGGGAAGAAGGATGATGTAGGGGAATTCTGAATGACCTTCCTGTTTCTGTCCTTTCCTCTGACTCCTTCAGCTTAAAATAGTCAATGTGCTGAGGTACCATATTTTAGGGTGGCGTGTTCTGGACCCCATCAGGAAAGACTTTACCTCTCGGGCCCACCAGCCTATGACCAGCCTTGTCTTACACAGGGGAGGCTGAGGGGAAAGAGACCTGGAGTCAACCCAGGCTTGCACGTGCATTATGCTGGGAACCCTCAGCAAGGGACCTCCATCTGCTTGGCCTCAATGTTCCCATCTCAACATGGGGCTCAAAGGCTACCCCAAGGGCAGAGCAGATGGGAAGGTGCCCTGTGCACTGAAAAGCCAGCCCGTCTTGTGAGATTTTACTGCAGTGACATTACTGCTACTTGGATGGTGTCCAGATTAAAGGAAGCCAGTTCTGCAAGTCACAGGGACTTGGGCCAACTCAAGGGCTTTACTTCTATTTCATGCACACCATGAAGGAGCAGTAGAGAATCCTCATTACCCAATGAAGATCGATATGGGGGAAGGAGTGTCAGATTTAGCAAAAACAGGCACCCAGTTAAATTTAACTTTTGGTAGGGGGAGGGATAAATTAGGAGTTTGAGATTAACACATACACACACTACTATATATAAAATAGATAAACAACAAGGACATTGTATAACACAGGGAAATATAGTCCATATTTTGTAATAACCTATGATGGAAAAGAATATGAAAAAGAATATATATATTATATATGTATACAGCTGAATCACTTGACTGCATACCTGAAGCATTGTAAATCAATTATACTTCAATAAAGTTTTTATTAAAAATTTGAGTTTCAGGTAGGCAGTGAGTATTTTTTCATATTAATATATCCCCAATGTTATGAGACTAAAATTACTTTAAAAACAAACTAAAAAATTAGTTGTTTACATAAAAACCAAATTTAATTGGCATCTTGTATTTTATCTGGCAATGCTATAAATGGAAAAGCTAACAATTCCACTTAAAAAACTGAGAACTGAAGCTTTATAGAGAATAAGAGAAATGGTATGATTGGTAGAATTCACTTGTAAGAATAAAACTAAAAATAATGAAAAAAGTTGATTCTTACACTTAATGACATTTAAGTGTGATAACATTAAGCTATAAGAATGAATGATTTATTTACTTATTTTTCTGTCAAAATTATATACTAACTTGATACAATATTCTTCCCTTCCCACTTCATTTCTGCAACAAGATCATAAAGAAGGCCAGTGACCTGTTGACACAGGTGCTTGGGGTGAACAGGAGCCACTCAGGCCAAGTAGGAAATTACAAGTGGCCTGTTCTTTCAAGCTATTACAGTGACATTTGCTTCTGCCATAGTTAAATAACTGTATGCTCATAAAATAAGCTTATTTTAGCAAAAATAAGCTAGCAGTGAGAGTTGGGTTCTGGTGTGTAGAGTCCAGTTCCACCCTTTCTATTATAGATAATACTGGTCAGGTTATTTATTTTGACTGTGCCTTAGTTTTCTCATCCTCAAAGTAAGGATGAATGAGTGCATAAAACTCGCAGAACTATGGCTCCTAGGATTGCTTTAATAACAGTTATTACCAAGCCATTATTATTAATTCAGATATTTCTATCTCTGTCTACTCTCACGGTGTCAGTGAGGTCAAGGTCCTCCGCGGCTTCAAGGTGACCTCTCTCTGCCCTTCTCCCACCACCCCACCCCCCTCCCATTTCTATACAGTTCCTGGGCCACCTCACCTGGGTCACCTCCTCCCTGAACCCTTCCAGCCGGGACGAGCTCCTGCAGCTGCTGGACACGGCCAGGGTGAGGCTCCGGGAGAGGGGAGGACAGGGTCTGGTCCCCTACGTTTCCCACCCGTGGCCACCGGGACTCAGGAGATCCGACCCACCCCGCAGCAGCTGAAGGAGCTGCCGCTGAAGACGACGGCGGAGCAGGACAGCATCCTGAGCCTGTCGGCCCGCTGCCTGCTGCTCACCTGGCGCGACAACGAGGAGCTTATCTTGCGTATCCCCACGCACGAGATTGCCGCCGCCTCCTACCTGCAGGACGACGCTCTGCACCTGCTGGTGCTGAAGACCGGTACGGTGGGCGGGGCCTGGCGGGACAGGGCGGGGAGGGGAAGGGGTAGAGAACGGGCCCGACACCTAGGAACGGGCGTGGCCTGGGGCGGGAGCGGGGCCTGAGGTTGGGGAATGGGGTGATGGAAAGGCCTGACCAAACTACCCCGAGTCTAGGGATAGGGCACGGCTGTTTGCAAGAAGAGGGAGCCCAGTGTTGAGGCTTGAAGGAGGACAGCCTGACCCACCATCTCGGAAATGATGGAGAAGCCAGAATTCTGAGGCCTGAAGGCGTGATTAATGGGTACTAAAGCTCTGAGGCTAGGAGGGTACCTGGGGCAAGAAGCGGAGTCTCATTTAGGGGCGGAGCCCTACACTGGGGGGCGGAGCTCGCGGCTGAGATACCAGGTGGGAGGTGTGAGACCCTGCCAAGCTAGGGGCGGGGCCTGAGGCGAGGGGCGGGGCTGAAGGGAAGCTTGGGCTCAAGGAGAGGTTCCCGAAACCAAGAACAGGGTCAGAGTTAACAGTAAAGAGGGAGGCGATAGCCTGACCACTACTCAGACCAGACGGCAGGGTCCGAAGCGAGGGGCGTCTGGATAGGGTGGGGTGGGTGGGAACGGCCAGGTCCAGGGGTGGAGCCTGAGGGTGGGGCGGGGTCCAAAGGCAGGGACCCGGAATGAGGCGGGGTCTGGCCTCCCGACTTCGAAGCCAGGGGTGCGGCCTGAGCACAGGGGCTGGGGGACTCACTCCCAAACCCCTATCCCGCAGCGGCGGGTCAGGACCCCCAGCTGGCCTCGGGAGAGGGGGCGCTTAGCCTAGATCTCCTGCTCTGACGGCCACCGACCTCTCCTAGGTCTGGGCGTGGACCCGGTGCCAGCCGGTGTAGACGCCAGCCCCGGCGGGGCGGGGCGCGACCCGGGCCCGCCGGGCGTGGCGCCCGAGAAGCGGCGGGTGGGCACCACCGAGCGGCGCCACACCATCTGCAGCCTGGACTGGCGGATGGCGTGGGGCGGGGGCGCAGGCGCCGAGGCCCGGGCCGGGGGCGGCGGCGGCGGCGGCGGCAGCCTGGAGCGCCAGCGCGCCGGGGCGCGGGCGTCGGGCAGCTGGGAGCGGCGGCAGACGTTCAGCGGCAGCTGGGAGCGGCGGCACGCCGGCGGCGGCGGCGGCGCGGGCAAGCCAGGCGGCAGCTGGGAGCGGAGGCAGGCGGGCGGCGGCGGTGGCAGCTGGGAGCGGCGCCACCCGGGCCCCAACCCGCTCGACCCGCAGGACCCCAGCCCCGACGCCTACTGCAACCTGGTCATTCTGGCTGTGGCCAACAGGGTGAGCCCGAGGGCACCCTGCGCCCCTGCACCCTGCCTCCAGGGCGCGTCTTCACCCCCGCCCCCACCTCCCCCAACCCTCCGGCCCCACTCCCCCGTCCCCCCGCCCCTTTTCATCTCCCTCCTTTGGCCCTACTATCCAGGATTTCAGGTACTGTGTGCCCATAACGGCAAAAGACTTCTACCCTCCAGTTCCCGGACACCTCCCCCTTACTTGTCCCGGAGGGATGAAAGCTCAAAATGGCCCAGACTTGATCTAATCTCTCCTCCAGCCCTCCTCTTTCCCCAAAGTCGTCAGTCTCCGCACTACCACGGTAACAATCGTGAGGACAGTAATCACCAGCACGAATTGAGTGCCCGACCTGTGCCAGACAGGAAACCAGCATTAATCATTTCGTTCTCACGTTAACCCCTAGAGGCAAATATTACCATCATTCCTATTCTACAGAGAAGGAAACAGACACAGAGGCTAAGCAACTTGTGCAAGGTCACGCAGGAAGCAGGCGGTGATTTCAACACTGGGACCCAAAAGTTCAGAGCCTGTACTCTTGGTAACAATGGTCATCACCCAAAGCATAAGATTTCCCGTCATTCTTGCCCCACCCTCTATCCAGCACATTCACCCTTGCTTTTATCTATTTGACCATGTTCATTGAGTACCAGCTTCTGCTAGGCATTGGTCTAGGTGCCATGGATACAGGAATGAATAAGACATAATTAGTGTCCTCCCTTAGGGAACTCAGTGTCTAGCGGACACCTTCAAACCCTGAGACTTGTAAGCTTTTTCTCTGACCCAGGGTCTTGAACTCCCCCTAAATATAAATCCCACGTGGTGAACAAAATAGACATGGCGCCTCTTTAGAAAGAAAGGTGGATAGTAACCAGTAAACTCAGGCTATGGAGCTGACTTGAGACACTTTCTCATTTATCCTTGGCACCCAGAAAAGTGCCTGGCATATGTGTGTGTTGATGCTAAGTCGCTTCAGTCATGTCAGACTCTCTGCAACCCCATGGACTGTAGCCCACCAGGCTCCTCTGTTCATGGGATTCTTTAGGCAAGAATACTGGAGTGAGTTGCCATTTCCTAGTCTGCTCAATAAATATATTGAGTAGATGGATTAGTTCGTAATACATTACAATATGTTGTGATGGGGACAAAGAAAAAAACAGGCAACTTGTAATGATAAGGAGGAAGGAGATTCATTTTTCAGAGGGAAAGTGAGTTTGTACCTTTTAAATTGAAATGTGGAAGAGAAAGGAAGCAGCAGGGCAAAGAGCCAAGAAAGTCAATTCTAGGCATAGGTACCAGTGGGCCCTGTTTATCCCACTATGCTGTGAGGGCTTTAGGCTTTACCTGATTCACCTCTGAGACCCCAGAACCCATCCCGGTGCCTGCCATACATTGGAAATAAGTAATAATTTGTAGAATGAGTAAATAAATAAAGCTTGTTTTCCGGGAGTATCTGAGCCTCTGGCCTCCAATCTGAGGCATCATGGTCCCAAGAAGGGTACAGGAGTTAAGAGTCAAAAAACCTGCGTGCCAATATTAACCAAAGCCATGAGCCTGCTGTGTGAGCCTAGGTGAGTCATTTATCCACTCTCATAAAATAAGGATCCCCTCTTCTCTGTCCACTTTAGATAAGGATCAATCCTGGTTTAATGACAGTTTCATTCCCTCATCCCAAAATGCCTGTCCTGAGGTTACATTTTAATTTACACCCTGGGCTGACATTTTTAGAAGCAAAAAATAAGAAATGACTTCATGAAGATGGACTCTTCATTAGTTGTCTTTCTGTATCTCTTACTTAAATAGGTAAATCAAAGAGGCAAATTCCTCTTCAAATTTGCCATCTCAAAAAAATCTTATCCAAGAATCTAAATGCCTTCCTTCTATCAGGGACTGAAGCTTATATATTCATCCTGCTTCCATTTTTGCCCTGGGTGCCAAGAAGCTCACATCTAACTATGGCACAGTAACTATGTTGAGCCTAACATTTTCATACCTTTAATTCTTCCTCCTCTTACTAGGTATTAGGAAACCAGGGTTCTAGTCCTGGCTAATCACTTTATGTCTCTGGGCTTCAGCTTCCTACATGTAAACTTAATTTAATTTAGCATAAGCTTCAGGAAGGCCCATAATTCTCCCATGAATTGGGGGTACATGTGTCTACTTTTCAGAGCACAAGAGTTACAGTTGTCACGGGATTCTATAAAGACCAATAAGTGGCTATTTCTTTAAAAGCCACCCAGAGCATGGCTATATAATTTTGATGGGAAATGACCTCAGAGTGGATCTAAAGTCACCCATAGTTGCGTGTGTGCCTGCTCACACTGCGTTTTCAGGGAGCAGGGGCATCCTGATCACGGAAGGACTGAGCTCTGTCCTCCTCTCTGGACAAGGATGCTGCCGAGGAGTCCTGTGCCCTCATCTGTCAAGTCTTCCAGATCATCTACGGGGACCAGAGCATCGAGTGCGTGGACCGGGCCGGCTACCACTACACATCCACTCCTGAACGGCCGTGGCTGTGTAGCCGCAGTGAGTATTCCAATTCCTGGCCAACCTTCCTGTGAATCATCCCGAAAGGCCAGAGGAGGCAGGGGGTCAGGGGTGGGGTAGGGGGTGATATGTCCCAAGACTGGGGCCAACAAAAGCCTTTAGAGGTCCTGACTTCTACAGCAATTACAGTGTACCCCCAATATATAGCTAAAATAAAATGTGCAATTTCATAATGACCTCAAGCCTAGCTTTATGATAAGCCCTTTAGAGGTGAACTGTCTCTCCTTTTATATTTTGGTGTCCCAGGGGCATTGTCTGTTTACTGAGCCATCTAGCCCTACTAGGACTCTAGGTCAAAACCAAGATTTCAAGACTGGTCCTTGAATGCTGTCAAAGGCTGGAATGAAAATGAAACCAATAGAGATTTGTTGAGCACCAGCTATGTGCCAAGCACAGACCCAATGTGCCCCACAGTTTGTAATCCTCATAACAACCTCATCTGTCCTGTTTGCCACTGTGTCCCCTGTTCCTAGCGGAGGGCCAGGGGCAGACACTCAAGGCGTATTTTCTGAATGGATGAAAGAACTGTCTGAGGCTTATGAATCCAGTTTTAGCGGATGAGGCTATTAAGGCTCAGAGTGGTTAATAAATGTCTCAAGGTCACACAGCTGGCAAATGACAGAGTCAGGATGCAAACCCAAATGCACCTGATTCTAAAGCTTCCATCTGCAGCAGCTTCACTCTCCACGCTGCCTTCAAGGCCCCAAAGTGAACTTCCTCAGCCACGGCCCCCTCAGGGTGGTCCCTGTTTGCATACCTCTAGCAACAGGGAGTAGGCTTTTTCCTCCTGGAGGCACTCCCCTCTGTGGGAACTGTGGTTATTGAGACTCTGGGAAAGTTCATCGACTCTCCCAGGGATGATGGACAAATAAATAATTCAACAAATATTTCTTGAACACCTGAGTGTCGGCTCCTGCTAATCGCCAGGATGCACTGGTGACTAAAATCAGACATGGTCCTCCCTTGGAGGCTTGCATTGCTGAAATCGGCTGACAGTAATTAAATAGTTACGCAAGGACTTCCCTGGTGGTTCAATGGCTAGGACTTTATGCTCCCGATCCAGGGGTTCAGGTTCAATCCCTGGCCAGAGAACTAGATTCCACATGTTGCAACCAAAATTTCACATGCTTTAACTAAAGATCCTGTGTGCCACCAGGAAGACCCGGTGTATGCAAATAAATAAATAAAAATAATTCTTTTGGCCACACTGGTCTTTACTGCTGCTTGTGGGCCTTCTCTAGTTGCAGCAAGCGGGGGCTACTCTCTAGCTGTGGTGCACACGCTTCTCATTGTGATGGCGTCTCTTGTTGCAGAGCACAGGCTTCAAGGTGCATGGTCTTAGTGGCCCCCACAGTGTGTGGAATCTTGCCAGACCAGGGATCGAACCAATGTCCCTTGTATCGGCAGGTGGATTTCCAACCACTGGACTATCAGGGAAATCCTGTTTTTGTTTTTGTTTTTAAGAAAAAGAACCTACTTTAAAGGAAATAGTTACACAAATAAAATACAACCACACACTCTAGTATGAACATGTATAATGAGAAACCAGCCTGACCTGGAAAGTCAGGGGAGTGTCCTGAGAAAGTGCCACTGAGTGAGTCAAGATGGGCAGGGGGAGGCCAATACCTGGATTCACTGAGATGACAGAGTCAGGTACAGAGCAAGTTCTCTGTCCCTGGTGCTCCTTTCTCCTCATGGTTTTGATCTCCTTCCCCTCAAAGGTCTTTTTTCTCTCTCTTTCCCTCAAACATATATGGCTTACAGCCCCTACTGCAACTGTTCCCTGGCTTGCTCTCCCCAAGGTCCCCATGAGTAGGCAGGACGGTGGTGTTGTCCCAACCTTGGGGAAGGTGAGGGCCAGGAGGAAGAGGTGGGTTGGCCAAGGTTGTCTCTGGGTTGGTGGTGGGGGCAGGAATCCTGGTCAGAATCTTCCAGTGGCTGCCCATTTCACTCTGTGTGTAAGCTAACTCCTGTACAATTACTTACAAGGCCATCCTCGCTCCAGCTGCCATCTTCACTCCAGGGTGGGGCCGAGCTTGGGGCTTCGGGGAGCCGGGGATATTGGTCCCTGCTTTGCCTCCTCTGACCACCCTCTGTCTGCTGCCCCCAGGTGAGAGCTGCCGCACCGACGGGACCTATGCCTACGACGCCGACTTCAGCTGCTGCAGCTCCTTGTGGGTACTGCCCTGGCCAGGGGCCCCACTCTGGTCCCTTCTGTCCCTGAACGAGCAGGGCTGCTCCTCTGGCCACTCTTGGGGCCCCGTGGGCAAGAGAGGCTGGGGGAAAGTGACTCCGCTTTGATTTGTGCTGAGACACTGGGCTCTGAGCCTGAGGCTCTAGTGAGCTGATAGAATCCGAACCCCTGAGAGAGAGACAGGGCAGCCAGAACCCAGAACTAGGTCCACAGGACCCTGCCACCCTTCCCCAGTCATCCAGACACTCACTGGCCTGCAGAGGCCAAAATCACAACTAATGCCAAAAAATCATTTTGGCTTCATGGAATAGAAAACTCTAAAAAAGCCGCTTGAACAAGAGTTTCCTCCCCCTCCCCATCTCTCTTACATAAAGTAGACCAGGAGTTCACGGCCTTGTGGTCATCAAGAGCCCAGACGTATCTTTCCAGCCTCCCTAACACTTGCTTCCATCCCCCAAATCACCCCATAGGCCAAAATAATGGTTAAAGCTCCAACCATCACAGCAACATATTTGCCTAATACTGTGTACCCTTAGGCCAGTCCTTAAACAATCTGCTGTATGCTAGAGAGACAACAATCATGATAATGAGTAACTTTTGAACCTGCTATGTGCCAAGGACTATTTTGTAATGCAATTCATTTTAAAAATCAACATAGCAACATTATAGTAACTACTGTTTATTTATTGCTTAGTCCATAACTCTAACGCCTCTATTTCTCACGACACCAATTTTTACCATCCCATTTTATAACTAGAGAAATTGAAAAATAGAGAAGTTAAGTAACTTGACACAAGATCAAGAAGCTAGTAAGTTGTTGGCCTGAAGTTTGAACCCAAGTAGGCTTAGAGTCCACACTAAGCTTACACTACTTCTATGGAGTTAATCATTGATGATGGTTCTGGAACATCGTAGAGACCTGGAGGCAGAGCCCAAGGCTGACTTTTATTTAAACAATATTTATTGAGTACCTACCCTGTACCTACCCATGACACAGAGGCTTTTCTGATGCCCCCACCAAATGTCCTCTCTAACCACTCTGTCCCTCACACCCTCTGTCGCAGCCACAGTGGCCTCCTGGGTGCTCCTCAGACTCACCACATGGATCCTGCCTCAGCATCCCTGTGTGCTGTGCTATGTGCTAGGGATACAGGGGGAGCAAGGCAAGAGTGAGACCTGTGCTCGGCACATAGTAGGTACTCAGCAAACAGAGAAAATCAAGGTCCCTGCTCCTGCATGCTTTGCAAGTGTGGCAAAGAGACAACGAAATCATTATTTAGTAGCAATAAGCACCAACATTAAGAAACACTACTGAGAATCTCAGAGAGTGGCTACAAAAATCCTGCCTCACCTGGGGAGTCAGGAGGGCCTCTCCAAGGCGATGACACTTGAACTGAGACCTGATGGATAAAAGGGGGAAGAGCGCTCCAAGTAGAGGGAACAGCAGGTGTAAGGATGCTGAGGCAGGATCTGCTTGGCGAGGCTGAGGAGCAGCCAGGAGGCCACTGAGGCTGTGACAGATGATGTGAGGGACAGAGTGACTAGAAAGGACATTTGGTGGGGGCATTGGAAGGGCCTCTGTGTTGTGGGTAGACTTACAGACTTTGTGATCATATTGGACAGATTGTCTAACCCAGTTGGGAGGGATCAGGGAGAACTCTCCCAGGGAGGTGACTTTTAAAATCCAATGATGAGGAAGAGTTAGCTGAGCAAACAACAGGGAAAGAGAGGCATTCCAGGCCGAGGTAATAGCATGTGCAAAGGCCCAGAGGTGAGGAGGTACTTGGAGTATTAGAAAAGCATGAAGACAAGGTGGCCTGAGCCTAAGCAGCAAGGGTGAGACAAAGCTTGAGAGGTGGTGCAGGGCCAGATCACAGGACACCTCGAGGGCCAAAATGGGGTCCAGGAGGGGGGCTCAGTCCCAGGGCATGGGTGGCTGTCCCCTCCCACCTTCAGCCTACCGCATGGAGAGGAGCTGTTGAGAGTGAGGGAGTGAGGCCCCTTCCCTCTGTTCCTGCAGCAACAGCTCCCAGGACACGTTTGAAGCCTGTTACAGCGGCACGTCCACACCTTCTTTCCATGGCTCCCACTGCAGCAGCAGCGACCACAGCGGCCTGGGCCTCGAGCAGTTACAGGATTACATGGTCACGGTGAGCTGGGGCAGGGGGGGTGGCCAGGTATTTCAGGAACCATGAACAATCCTGGGCATAACTGAAGTGTAAGACCTCAGAGGTTAAGGCAGGGTATGACGTTCAGAGAGTAAATGGAGTCAGCCATGAAGGACCTTAACGAATGTCAGCTAGCAGCGAGTGCTGTCTTTATACCAGGCACTGTTCGGAGCACCTATAATGATCTCCTTTCATCTTTCAACAACCCAAGAGAGAAGTGCTGTCATTATTCTCACTTTGCGGATGAGGAAAGCAAGGGTTAAGGAGGTTATCATCTGCTCATGATCACAGAGCTGGCCAGTAAAGGAGCCAGAATTTGAAATTAGGCAGCTTGAGTCCGCATCTCACTCTTAGATGCAGCCCAAGGGGTCTGGATGTCCCCAAGGAGGCCAGCTTTTCAGAGGAGGGCTGGGCCAGATACACCCAGCTCTGGGTCTTTTAGGCAGGGGAGTAATTTTAAATGGTGCACCCACAGTTGCGGACTAAGCTGGGGCCCCCAGAGATCCAGCAGTTTGCGCTGCTGCTTCGGGAGTACCGGCTGGGGCTTCCCATCCAGGACTACTGCGCGGGCCTGCTGAAGCTCTACGGAGACCGGCGCAAGTTCCTCCTGCTTGGTGAGCCCCCTGCCCAGGCTGGGAGTGTTCACTCTTTACCCTTCAGCCTCCCGTAAAGCCAACATCACGAGATCCATGAGACAAACAAGGAAACCAAGGTGCAGAGAGAGAAAGGGGCTTGTCTGCAGTCACAGAGCTGGGAAAGAGAGCACAGGTGTAACCATTTCACCTTCACAGCACAGCTGGGAGAGAGGATGACCCTTCCCATTTTACCCCATGAGGCAGCTGAAGTTCAGAGAGGCTAAGGAACTCGTCCAGGGTCATGGAGCTAGTAAAGAGGGCTAATGATAACAGAAAGAGGAATGATAATCCTTTTTTTTTTTTTTAGTTTTTATTCAATTTGTTACAATATTGCTTCTTTTTTATGTTTTGGTTTTGTTGGCCCTGAGGCATGTGTGATATTAGCTTCCAGACCAGGAGTTGAATTTGCACCCCCTCGATTGGAAGACCAAGCCTTAATCACTGGACCACCAGGGAAGTCCCAGGAATGATCATCTTAATTAGCATGTATTTGACAGTTAACCATGTGCCAAAGGATCATCTAGTTGAAGGCCCTTAGTTCTGAGAATTGAAACTATGACTTGCCTCCATTTTGCAGATGAGAAAACTGAGGCTTAGAAAAGCAAAGTACATAAGTCATAAAGCTAGTAAGTAGTGACAGAAGTAAAACAGAAGTCAAATGGGCTGCTCAGTGTGTGCTAAGAACCTTATTTAATCCTCACAGCCTGGGAGAACAGGTGCAATTACCTCCGTTTTACAGGTGAGGACAGTAAGGCTCAGAATACTTATTGAGGCTACTTACTGAGTCCATGGGGTCGCAAAGAATGGGACACAACTGAGCGACTAAGCGCAGCACAGCACATAACAGATAGGAATATAACCATCGAAATAATAATGATAAGAAGAATAAGCGAACATGCAGTGAGCATTTAAATGTGTGCGGGGCACTGTGCCATTATTCTCCAGCTCAGAGAGTCAAGGAGTTGTGTAAAGCCACACAGCCAGTGGCAGGGCGGGCATCTGATCCCTCGGTGGGAGGGGAAGGGCCGACCCCGAGGAATCACCCTGGTCCTCGACCCCCAGGGATGAGGCCCTTCATCCCGGACCAGGACATCGGCTACTTCGAAGGCTTCCTGGAAGGCGTGGGCATCCGCGAGGGCGGCATCCTCACCGACAGCTTCGGCCGCATCAAGCGCAGCATGAGCTCCACGTCGGCGTCTGCGGTGCGCAGCTACGACGGCGCTCAGCGGCCGGAGGCGCAGGCCTTCCACCGGCTGCTGACAGACATAACGCACGACATCGAGGCGCTGGCCCCCGACGATGACGAAAGCACGGACGAAGAGGCCCGGGACTCCGCGGGCGGGGGCGACGCGGCCGAGGACAACTACCTGTAGCCTATGCCGCTGTCAATGCTGAGGGTGGGCAAGGGGGTGGCCCCGCACCCCCGCCTCTGAGTCTCACGCGCCCATGGCTGTGCTACTCCATCCCCAGGATCCCCTCCCCAGAACCCAACCTGGGGCTCCGCGCTCCGGGGCCGGGGGTGGGGGGTGGCGGAGCCGGGGTCTGTCCCTACCGGGCCCCCCAGCTCCGGTCCCTGCAGTACCGAGAATGTCCTGCCGGGGACGGGACTCTAACCGGGGCTCAGCCGCTCCCTCTGCCGGCCGAGGTGGGCGGCGAACTTCTCCCGAGGGTTCGGCCTCTGGACATTCGAGACTCCGCAATTTTCTGGAGGCCAAGTGAGGGGTGGAGAGTGTGCTCCACCTGCTGGCCGGTTGAGAAAAGAATTCCCCGAGCCTGAAGACCTCTTTTTCTATTTTACAGTTTGAGAAACTGAGGTTCGAGGGAAGAAACTGGAGGGAGTCTCCTGATTCTCCTTAGATATTACCTCACGCTGGCCATACTAAATCATGCAGAGGGTCCTTCTGAAGCTCTAAGAGGCAGGGTCTCCCCTTTGCAGATGGACTTAGATCTTTAGATCTAATAGAGGTTTCTTTCTACCAAGAGTCGACCCAGAGGTGCATGATCTGGGTCCCAGCCCCGACCCTAAGGCTCTGAACAAGTTGCTTGTTCAAATCTTGCAATCGGAGTGGGACAGGCTAGGCTCCCCGTCTAATAGGTGTTCGAGCCTCTCTGCCTCTCCCGTTTTCTCTTCTGACCAGGAAGTCGGCCCCACCCACCTCACAAGGGGGTCATAGGGATTACTGGCGGTCAAGACCTTAGTGCTAGGTCTAACACATGATATGTGTTCAATAAATGCTGTTCCCTTCCACATCGAACACTTTCTGACTCAGTTTACCTGTCTTTACCTGTGTGCAACGGGACATGAACTGAGGTGAGGGTGAGATGTAGGAAGACCCTCAGGGAACTCACAGTTTGGGAGGAGAAAATAGGACTTGCCCCTCACAGCTCTATTACAGCATGACTCCATGCTCAAAGTTCAAATGAAAAGATTCTGCAGACTAGCCATCGTATCTCAGATAGTCAAAGAATTCTGAAGACAGAATTGGAGGGGGAGAAAAGTCAACATAAAGACAAGACTTGCACAGCCTCAGTAAAGGCTCAGAGGCTGAAAGAAGCCCTCGGAAGAGGCAAGAGAATTGCCTGGAAGAGCTAAAATGTATCTGTAGAACCTTACATGGCCAGACACAAGGTACTTACCATGAGGTAGATACTATTATTGCCATTGTTAAAGTAATATCATTATTATTACTAGGGCTTGGATTCAGCAAGTTCCCTGCTTCATACTCAGTTCATGGCAAATGACTATACCATCATAACTGATCCACAAAAGGCCCTTCTGATCATCGACTCGATGGACATGAGTTTGAGCAAGCTCTGAGATTTGGTGATAGACAGGGAAGCCTAGTGTGCTGCAGTCTATGGGATCGCAAAGAGTCAGACACGACTGACTAAACTGAACTGATGTCTTACTTTGTTTTATATTCCCCAAACTTCATCTACACATCTCCACAATCCTTCTCCTCCCCACCATGGGTACCCATCTCTATGTGTTGATATATGTCCCTGGACATAAAATGTATAATGTCTTGTGTGTGTGTTTACATTACATAAATGGTATTGTGTAAGAAACTCATTCTGTTGTTTCCTTCCTGCGTAAAAACCTAACTTAGTACATCCAACCACTGCAAATATTCCAAGCTGAGCATCCACTGATGGACACACAGGTTGCTTCCTATTTCCTCTTACCATAAACCACACTGTGATGAACATCTTTGTGCATGACCCTTGTGGGGCTGTGTGAAAATTTCTTTGGGCTTTATACCCAAGAGTAGATCATAGGGTATATATGTTTTCATTTTTGCTAAAAGTCACTAGAATAGCTGCACCAGTAGTGTGTGAAGGATACTGTCTCCCCACGTTTTCAGCAACTTTTCCATCATCTGACTTTGTAACCTTTTGCCTATTTGGGTGTAAGGTGACATCATGTTGCTTTAAGTTGCATTTCTCTCTTAATCCTGAGATTCAGAACCTCCTCCTATACTTGTTGGGCATTTAGGCTTCCCCTTCAGTATTGTCTATTCATATCTTTTTCCCATTATCTTTTGTGTTTCCTGTCTTTTTCTTGTTGATTTGCAGGAGTAGCTTATACCTTTTAGATTTTAATCCCTTGTTGGATATTGTTGTTATAAACATCTTCTCCTAGTACATTGTCCATCGTCCATCTATTAAGTTTATTTATGGCAGTGGTTCCCAAACTTTAGCATGCCCCAGAATCTCCTGGAAGGCTTGTTAAAACAGATTGCTGATCCCCACCCCAGAGTTTTGACTCAGTAGAATAGAGATGGGGCCCAAGAACTTGTGTTTGTTTGTTTTTAGCATTTACTTATTTAATGTTTTTTTTAATCTTTATTGAATTTTTTACAATATTGCTTCTGTTTTATGTTTTGGGTTTTTAGGCCATGAGGCCTGTGGGATCTTAGCTCTTCAACCAGGGATTGAGTTCACACCCTATGTGTTGGTTGGAAGGCAAAGTCTTAACCACTGGATCACCCAAGAACTTGGGTGATCTTGGGTGATCTTGAGTGAAGCCCCAAGAACTTGTGTTTTGTGTGTGTGTGTTTTTAATTAATTAGTTTATTTATTTTTGGCTGCATTGGGTCTTTGCTGGTGGGCGTGGGCTTACTCTAGTTGCAGCAAATGGGGGCTGCTCTTCGTTGCAGTGCACAGACTTCTCATTGCAGTGCCTTCTCGTGTTGTGGAACACCAGCTCCAGGCCTCTCAAGCTTCAGTAGTTGCAGTCCACAGGCTCAGAGTTGTGGCTCATGGGCTCCAGAGCTTGGGCTCAGTAGTCAAGGCGCAAGGGCTTAGTTGTTTTGCGGAATGTGGAATCTTCTCAGCCAGGAGTCAAACCCATGTCTCCTGCATTGGCAGGTAGATTCTTATCCACTGTACCACCAGGGAAGTCCAAGAACTTATATTTTTAACAAGTACACAGATGATACTAATGATTCAGGGACCACACTGAGAACCACTGGTCTGTGGTGCCTTCCTCTGAACAAATTTCCCATTGAACAAATTTTTAATTTTGATGTTTTCAAATTTATTTGTCTTCATTTTATGGATGAGCTCAAAGCAGTGAAGTGAATGACCCGAAGATCCACAGTGAACTGGGATTTGGACCCATATCTGGCTCACCCCAGAACTCAGGCCCCTACTGGCTCTGCTATCCTGTCTACCTACTTTCGGGATACATTGATCAGAGGCTGAGGTATTTGGACCTGAGGCCATGGGGTGTCCTGATAAGCTCCTGAGTGAGGCAGCCATGAGGGAGAAGTCCACTGACAAGGGGCAGAGACCAAAGAGACAGGGGTCCCTCTTAAAGGCTGGAGGGCTTTGCAAGAGGATCAGGCTTGGAAATTGGCCACAGTCCTAGCCTGGCACAGAGTCAGGGCTGCTGAGAGGCACTGAGACAGCTCTTACCCCACAGCTCTGAGGATGGAGCAACTTCCCTCATACCCTGAGGAAGTCCCTAGCCACCCCGGAACTATCCTCTTACTAAAGCCATGTAACCCTTTGGTTTCTGAGGGCTGGGGTGACCCAGGCTCTGAGCATGGGGACTCTGGCCACACTTCCTCCTGTAGCCTTCAGAAACCCTGCCAGGGTCACTTCCCATCATGGTTCAGTTCCCGGCACTGCAAGACAGGAAACCCCCCTGGGTGGGGACAGCTGATTCCCAAAGACCTGTAGGGGTGGTGTAAGGATGGAACTCCCCGACCAGCTGGATCCCCTGAGGACACTGCTGCCCCAAGGACAAGTGGTGGGCAGTGAAAATGCCTCCAACTGCCACTGCCACTGAAGTCCGTCCCATGTGGAGGCCCTGGAGACGCCCAGCAATCCTCCGCAGCTGCATGTTGGGAAGGAGGTCCGGCACCACCGCCGTCCAGGCAGTGACATTTAGAGAGCACCCACTCTGTGCCAGGCATTGTGCGAGACTCTAGAAGGACACACAGAATAATCTCTGCCTGCTGGGGGCTCCTAGCCTGGTGGTCCCCAGATTATCACTAGACAAAATTCTCAACTGTAAAATCAAAGAGTGAAAAACCGGCGCTTTCTGGGGTGGCTGGAAAAAGCTTCTTGGAGGAGGTGACCTACGAGTGAGACCTTGAAGGACAAGCGGTGTTTTGGCAGGTTGACGAGAGCAGGGAGAGCCCTTCAGGCGGGCCCAGCATGAGTGCAGGCAGGGGCGCATGGCGCCCTCTGAGACACTTAAACACTCTGGCTCCAGGATCAGACTTGTGGTTTTGAGTCCCAACTCTGGCAGCTGCAGGTGGGTGACCTTGGGGTAAGCCCCTAAAGGTCTTGTTTTCCTCATCTATAACGTGGGGCAATAGTCGCATTGGCCTCATAGGTCTCATGGCTTGCCGTGAGGCGTAAACAAGATAATCCATGTAAAAGTGCACCTGCTGCGGCTCAGTCGCTCAGTCGTGTCTGACTCTGTGTGACCCCATGGACTGTAGCCCGCCAGGCTCCCGTGTCCATGGAATCCTCTAGGCAAGAATACTGGAGTGGTTTGCCTTACCCTCCTCCAGGGGATCTCTCTGACCCAGGGATCGAACCCAGGTCTCCCGCATTGCAGGCAGATTCTTGACCGTCTGAGCTACCAGGAAAGCTGAAGAATACTGGAGTGGGTAGCCTATGCCTTCTCCAGCCAATCTTCCCAACCCAGGAATCGAATAGGGGTCTTCTGCATTGCAGGCAGATTCTTTACCAGTTGAGTTACCAGGAAAACCCCAAAAACATCCAGTAAGTGCTTAATCAATGTGACCATGATTTATTTGGGAGGCACTTGGGGGTATGTGCAGTGAGGGGCAGGGCTTGTAGGGGAGGAAATCAAAGAAGTGGACAGGCTGAGATGGCCCTAGAAGGGCAGGCTGGGAAGTATAGGCAGTGGGGAGTGAGCTAATGGGCTTGCATTATCTCAAAATGAATCTAGCTGCTTGGACAGGAGAAAAGCCTGGGCCCTGGGGCCCTAGGGAGAGGGCTGGGACAAGGACCAAAGGAGAGATGCTAAGAACTGGCTCAGATGCAGTAAGAAGAAGGAAGAAGGGAGGGCAGGTTCAAAGAAGGAGGAAGGGGAAGAGGGCTTCCTATCAGCTGAGAGACAGTAAAGCTATATCCTTTGATTAGAATCACCCATTCTTTCCT